GCTGCTGCTGCTGCTGCTGCTGCTGCTGCTGCTGCATTGGCGGCGTTGAAGATGCAGACACCGCAGCCCCCACCCTTCCCGCCGGATGCGGCGTACGCAGACTTGCCGCTGCTGTTCCCTCCCCTTGAGCTGCACCCTGGCTTTGCTGCAGCAGCTGGGGAGCCTCTCCTGCGGTCAACAAGACAAGCTGCTGCTGCTGCTGCTGCTGCTGCTGCTGCTGGTGGTGGTGCTGCTGCTGTCCCTACTGGCCCTGAGGCGGCTGCTGCTGCTGCCGCTTCGGGACTCAGGCAGCAGCTGCTGCAGCGCATGCAGCAGCTGTCGGCTCTCCAGCAACTCATGGCTGTAGAGCAGCAGCTCACTCTCTACCAGCGGCCGGGGGAGCAGCCTGTTGGTTCTTCTCTCTCTAGGGGTCAGCAGAACGCTGCAGCAGCAGCAGCAGCAGCTGCTGCTGCTGCTGCTGCTGGCGCTGCAGCTACTGCAGCACCAGCACCAGCAGCAACTGGACCGCCGGCGCCAGCTGCTGATGCAGCAGCAGCAACTGCAACACCAGCATCGGCAGCAACTGCAGCAGCAGCTGCTGCTGATGCTGCGAACACTGCACGCTCAACAGCTGCAGCAGCGCCCAGGGCAGCTCCAGCTGCTGCTACGGAGCCAACTGAAGCTGCAGCAGCAGGAAGAGAAGCATCCGAACCAGCAGCAGCAACAGAAACACCAGCAGCAGCAGCAACACCAGCAGCAGCAGCAGCAGCAGCAGTTGAGCCAACTGCTGACTCTAGTTCTTCCTTGTCTGGCTACCCTCACATGCTAAAGGGGCCCCCTCCAGGTCAGGGGCCCCCAGCCACACAACGCTCCGAAGGAGCCCCTCGAGGGGCCCCCCAGGGGGCCCCCCAGGGGGGCCCCCAAGGCGCCTTGCAGGGGGCCCCTCGGGGGGCCCTAGAAGCGTCTATGTGGCTGCAGCGGCACACGTATGCGTTGAGGATGGCGGAGATGTATGAGGGGCAGCTGCGGCTGTGGCATTCGTTTGTGTGGCTGCTGCAGCTGCAGCTGCTGCAGAGTATACACGAGGAAACAGCAGCTAAAAGCAGCAGCAGAAACACAAACAGCAGCAGCAGCAGCAGCAGCAGCAGCAGCAGCAGCAGCAGTGGGGATGGCTTGTTGTCGCCGCTGCGTGGAGCAGCAGCTCCGAATGAGGCGTCAATAGCGGCAATGAGGCAGGCAGCAACGCATGCAGCAGCAGCAAGCAGCAGCAGCGGCGGGCGCGATGTAAGAGCTGCATATACACCCCAACCCTGTTACGTGCTGCCTATACACCCCACACCCCACACTCGAATACCTATTCATGTTTTGGTTTTTTTGTTGCTGCTGTTTCTGTGTTGCAGCTCGTCGCAGTAGGACGCCTGGCTGCGCTGCAGACGCAACTGCAGCAGCTGCAGCCGCAGCAGCAGCAGCAGCAGCAGGACCCTGCTGCTAGTGCAGGGGAACCAAGGACTGCTGCAGCTGCGGATGGTGCTGCTGCTGCTGCTCCTGCAGCATCCGCTGGAGCGGCGTCAGCCCCAGGATCCCGCCCAGGAACAGCAGCAGCAGCAGCAGCAACAGGAGCAGCAGCAGGTGTTCGTGCGCAGCAGCAGCAGGACCCTCAGAACCAGCCGAACCAGCAGCAGCAGCAACAGCAGCAGCAGCAGCAGCAGGCTGCACCTTGGCGTCTGCGTTTCATGGTGATGTATCTGAAGCTGCTGGTGCTGCTGTTTCTGTTTGACGCCAGCAAATGGGTTTATTTCTCCTGTCTCCTCGTCGCCCTGCTGCATGCAAACGGGGCCTTCAACCCCCTCATGGAGCTCATCAGCAGCACCAGCCACAGACAGCCATTCGAAGCCGTGAGCTACCCACTAACCTTACCTTACCTAGCTAGCTAGCTAGCTATCTAGCTAGCTAGCTAGCTACCCACGCCCGTATAGCCAGCTAGATTGCCGCTTGATCTTCCCTACTTAGCTAGCCACGCTTAGCTAGCTACGGCTCCCGAATAGCTAGCTGGAGGGATAGTGAGTGCCCCTTGCCCAGCTAGCTAGCTAGCTAGCTAGCTGCTAGCTGGGCTAGCTAGCTAGCTAGCTGCCCCAAGAACGAATGCAGTCTATAGTAGTTAGAATGCTACGGGTAGCTAGCTGCAGCTAGCTGCAGCAAGGGACCCTCTTAAGGCTGCACGACAAAGGGGCTGGTGTTTACTCCCCACGCCGCCTCATCAGCGTCATGTTGCTGCTGCTGCTGCTGCTGCTGCTGCTGCTGCTGCTGCTGTTTGTGCTGCAGACTCTTGCTCAACTGAGAAGACGAAGGGAGCGGCGGCCTCTGCAGCGGCTGCGGCTGCAGCAGCAGCGGCTGCATGCGTCTGTGGGGCGTGCATTCGAAGGTAAGCGCAGATTCCTGGTTTGCTGCAGCGAGAAGAAATATATTTATTTTAATTAAGCAGCAGCAGCAGCAGAGAGAGACAAGTGCATGCATGCAGCCACAGCAGCAGCAGCTCAGCTGCTGCTTCAGTCTCGTGGGCCTCTGTGTTTGTTGCTGCTGCTGCAGGAGGAATGTACACCACAGCGGAAGACACTGCAACCCAACGCACAGGGGAGACAATGGCCAGCAGCAGCAACGGAGACAGCAGCAACTCCAGCAGCAACACCAGCAGCAGCAGCAGCAGCAGCAGCAGCAGCAGCAGCAGCGGGGCGTGGGTGAGCGGCACAGACAGGGGTTCTGAGAGTTTGCAGGGCGTTCGCATGCGTAGCCGCATGGAGGGGGCGTCCTCTGGCGGCTCTTCGTCTACAGGGGCCCCCGAGGGGCCCCAGGGGGGCCCCCAGGGGGGCCCCCATGGGGGCCCCCGTGGGGGCCCCCATCCCCCAGCGGGTTTGTCTGGAGAGGGAGGGCGGAGGGGGGGAGAGGGGGGCCCCCGTGCTGTACCCCCCTACTGGCAGCGCGTGCTGTATCAGGGGTTTGCTATGTTCTTCCTTACAGCTATTCCCTCGTGGAACCCAAACCCAGAAATGTTGATTGATTATGAAGAGCTAGAAGCAGAGGAACAGAGTCGGGCGGAGGAGGCAGAGCAGCTGCAGCAGCAGCAGCAGCAGCAGCAGCAGCAGCAACAGCAGCAGCAGCAACAGCAACAGGAACAGCAGCAACAGTAACAGCAGGAGTAGCTGCAGCAAGAGTATCTGCTGTAGGGGTAGCTGCAGCAGCAGCTGCTGCAGAAGCAGCAATGGCCTGAGGCTCGTTGATGTAGACAAGTGCATGCATGCAGCCACAGCAGCAGCAGCTCAGCTGCTGCGGCTGCAGTCTCATGGGCCTCTGTGTTTGTTGCTGCTGTTGCATTGCTGCCGGGGTTACTTTGGTCGCGGCAGCGGCTCCGCTTGGTAGTTCTTTTTCTTTTGTTTGTTTGTCTC